TCTGTGTTAGCCAAGTGAATAGTTTCTTTACACAACTTGATGGGCCGCGGCCCATAGCCTGATGGGCCGAGGCCCAATTTGATGGGCCGTGGCCCCGGCCCATGGGCCGAAGAGGAGTCACCACTTCCACTCGGTTCTACGGACAAAAGGAGGAGTAAAACCGCGATCTAAATTTGATCGAAAAGCGGTATTATAAAATACTGAAAATAAAACCGTAAACAATATAAGTTTTGTTGATTCCCGCGACAGTCTAAAAACGCTTTTCTAGTCGCAAAATTTCGTGTGCCTACGGCGCACATTATGTTTGGTCGCCGTTTAGGAACATACCGTCACTAAAATCGAAACACGGTTAATTGTGGGTGGGATTTGCCTTTTTCCATTACTTTAAAATTGTCGTAGAAAATTTTCGTGTTATCATTAAACGAGGTTGAAAACGCGATTTTTCCCGGTTTGTGATGATATATAAGATAATTAATCCGAAGTATATCCATCAATTTTTATTGTACTGAAATAAATTTTACTCCATGAGAATTTACAGCAGATTTATGGATTTTTCAGGTTTTATCTTTAAAAATAATCGGAGTGTCAGCATTGCGATTGAACGGAGTCAATGTTACAAGCACATGTCGAATTTGCAAAATAGAAACATTACGGATCAAAACAATATATGATAGGCGACGGGCAGTTACCACAAATTTTTATGTCGGCAAATGGCCGAGGTATTTTAAAATTGTGAATTGTAAAAAATTGTTTTATTTTTTCGATGCAAAGGCTGGTTAAATTGAAGACAATTAAAATAATAAAGCAAGACATTTTAAATATGCCCTTATCGGTCACGAATTGATTACTTTGCACAACAGAAAAATCATTTTTCGTTGTAAACGTCGGCTCTTTTAACAAGTGGCATAATCGTGGCGATGAATGTATTTTTAATTTAACGATATACTTCATATGCATTTTCATTGTACGAAATAAAATTGTACTTGTCGGGATTTATATCAGTTATTGAGATTTTTGTAACGGCGATAACGAGTTGGCAAGATTCCAAAAATACGTATTTAATTAAATACACCGTTTATCTCATATTTTTATGTCCACCGATCGCCGTGGCATTTCAGAGAACCAATGTTTTCATTTTGACGTAAGAAGAAGCAACCACGAGTTACGTTGGGCACAATTAAACTAATATATAAAGACATTTTAGAATTTTGTAGTTGTCAGAGATTGAATATTTGACGCGACAAGAATAATCATTATACGCTGAAAAGACGTTCCTTTAACGAGCGCCTAATACGAAGTCTGTTACAGACCGCAATGGAAATTTATGATTATGAACCCCCCCCCCCCCCCCCTTTTGAAAATCCTGGCTGCGCGCCTGTGTGCAGTTACATATAAATTACAGCTAACATCTTGCATATTCAGTAATTCTAATGGATTCCATTTCAATAGGTCATGCAAAGCTCGTAGGTGCTTGTTATTTGATGACTGTATTGTTACTATACAACCAGGGATGGCCAATTCGAATATGTCGTCATTCGAATATCGGAATTCACGTTCATAAGAATATCGGATATTTGTGTGGCGTCACACATTTTCGACGCCGCTTTCAAGACGTTTCCGTTGAATTAAAACATTCTCGATAGAAACTTGCGCGTGATTGTTTTCATCACTCATCAGCGTAACGTGTTATTTAGGCCCGTAAACGCCTTTACGATTGTGTTATTTTTAACTAAAACGAGAATTTTCCACAAATTTGTTCCACGATAACATTTATTTTATTTTTGTACGCGCACGGAATTGTAAATCTGGTAAATACGTTCATCGGCGGCGAGTTTCTAAAGACAACGCAACCTTTTTGATTGAAAAGAGGCAATTTAAAATACTGAAAATAAAACCGTAAACAATATAAGTTTTATTGAAGCCCGCGAAAATTTAAAAAACGCTTTTCTAGGCAGTGGAAATCGCAAAATTTCGTGTGCACACATTATGTTTGGTCGGCGTTTAGAAACATATCGTCACTAATTGAGGGCGGGATTCGCTTGATTATCCATTACTTTAAATTGCCGTCGAATATTTTCGTGTTACCACGATACAAGGTTTGAAACGCGACTGTTTCCCGGGTTGTGAGGATGTATATAATATAATTAATCTAAAGTATATTCAATCAATTTTATTGTGATGAAATAAATTTCACTCTGACATATTACAGCATATTTATGAATTTTTCGAACGGTTTTATCTGAAAATAATCAGAGTGGCAGCATTTCGATCGAGCGGAGTCACTGTTAACAAGTACATCTAAATATTTGCTGAATTCGCAAAATACGAATCAAAACAATATTTAATAGGGCAGTTTACCTCACGTTTTTATTTTTATGACCGCGGATTGCAATGGTATATAAGATTGGGAGGATTTTATTTTGTCGACGCCACCGCAGGTTAAATTGAAGACAATTAAATTAATAAAGCAAGACATTTTAAATATGCCCGTGTCGGTCACGAATTCATCACTTTGCACAACAGAAAAATATATATTCGTTGTTATATTATTTGTTGTAAAAGTTGACTCGTTTAACAGGTGGCATAATCGCGGCGATGAATATGTATTTTTAAAAAACTGCTAAACTTTATATGTATATTCATTGTATGAAATGAATTATACTCTACACTTAACAAGATTTTATATAATTATTTGAGAATTTTCTAACGGCGATAACGAGTTGGCAAGATTGCAAAAATACTTATTAAAATAAATACATCAGGCAGTTTATCTCGTAATTTTAGGTCACAGATCGCCGTGGACCGAATAGTAATGTTTTTTTTTTGACGTAAGAAGAAGCAACCGCGAGTTACGTTGCACACATTAAATTAATATATAAAGATATTTCAGAATCTCGTAGTTGTCATGGATTGAATATTTTACGTAACAGGATGATCATTACACGCTGAAAAGACGGCTCTTTTAACAAGCGAGGAATCGCGGTGGGTGTTACAGGCGGCAATGGGAATTTCCGATTTCGAAAATCCTGGCTGCGCGGCTGGCAGTTGTGGTCATCTATTCTCTACTAATTTATTTCTAATTCCAAACACAACAATATGTTACACATAATAACAATATGGATCACATAAATTAATATACAAATATACTGGTAGGTAGTACAATACTCTAGGCCCAAATATTAGAATTTTTAAAGGCATAATGGATTTTGATGGTTGTTGCCTGTATTGCCAATAAATTTTATTACTCTCAGAAAATATACACAATTATCCGAATACAAGTAGTATGTCAATAAACTTGACTATTATCGTAATATCATGGTACCATTATAGAAAGCGTCAGACAACTCCTTGGCTATCTTTTCATATGGTCATTTGTTTAAAGTGAATAATTTTAATAAACTGACTGTGTCACAAGTTGCTATATAGCTATAAACTATCAATTACTTTGTGTACATATACTGTTGGTTTGTGGCTTCATTCTGATATTTCTATCGAAGCTTATTTCCTAATTTACTGGATTTTAATCAACTAAAACAAAAATGTGTTATTTTCGATTTTAGAATGTATTCGGAATTCCAGATTCGAAAACATTTATGTATTCGGAATAGTTTAGTATTCGGAAATGGCCATCCCTGTATACAACAGCCATTAAAGAGCAAGAGTGCAATTATTTGTCATATTAATAGACGGATAATATTACCATTGAAAGGTATTGCCATCATAAAAACTAGGGCTGTCCAAGCGAACCAAATATTCTAAAGTGAAAAGCGTTTTTCGGCTAATTTTCGAATCGCTAAAATTAAGTACATAAAGCGGAAAAGGCTTGAAACCACCTTTGCGAAACGTTTTTCATCGAGCGGGTGGAGCTTCGAGCCTAGACCACACTCGTTCCTGGTTTAATTGGTTTTCTGATATTTCTCTCGCCTTCATTTTACGGTAAACATGTCATTCCTAATGCCTGTTGGCACGTGATCAGCCATTTCATGCTTAGTCATCTTATCTTGAATGTTACAAACGGTAGTGATGTTTTTGAGAGAGAACACAGAGAATAAGTCTATTCAGTATCGTTAGAAAACGATAGTTCTATAAATAGAATCGATTTGAAGCTAATTGAGTTAGTTATCATAGGAACATGGTACAGGCAACATAAATCTGAAACAGCTATTGTGGAATCCTTATGATGGCAATACGTTATTCCAATGGAATTTGTAATTTCTTAAGATGGCAATACTGTATTATCCATCTATTTACCAAGACAAATAATTGCACCCTTGCATTTTGATGGCTGTTGTACACTAACAATATTACAGTCATCAAATAATATTGTCATTTGTTGAATGAAATTTTGAATTTGAGCACAAGTTTTTTCTATATTAATTACCCAAAAAATAGCATCTACAGTTTCATATACGAATATCCTAAATCCAAAATACTGGAGCAACTGATTTTACAGTACCGGTACAGATATTGGGGAAGGGCTGTCGAATGTGTCGCTTAAACAACTGTTCATGATTTTCTAAATTACTCCTACGCGGAACAATTACATCTGGCCAAAAATAACCAATTACACAGTTTTGTATTTATCATTAAATTTGCTATTGGTCGCGAGTTTTTACAAAATTTAATATTTAACAAACTTGGGTCTATTAGATTTTACACCGTGATAACGTTTTTCTTGCAATATATGCGCTATTGTCTGATGAAGTATGTATATAAATTCGAAACGTCGGCAAATTACATCGTTTTTATAACACCTGTGGCACTTTATTTATCTGGTGACAAACATACGCTATCATACTGCCAAATACAAATCAACAGTTCTAAGTTATTTTTGCGCGACGAATCAAATACCACTTTTGGATTACCGTTAGGTTATGGCTGACTAACCATTGTTATGGAAAGAACAAGAAAGTCAAGCAATGACAGATGTATAATTTTTAAAATAATTCTGCCAGATATTCATTACAAAACAAATATGCAAGGAAGTCAAGACTCTGAGACCCATTTTGTTAATTTTATACCAGATGTAATTTTTCCGCGTAGGATTAATTTTATATAGAAAAAATCTGTAACTGTTTTATTGGCAGTCAGTTAGTAGGGCCAAAGTGACTATAAACCAAGTGGAGACACCGAGTGCAATGATGCATATCGGACGCCATTATGTGTCCGGCGAATCGCGCGAACGTTGCAGCCTCAGTCTGTTTTAGAGGGAGAGAGTGAGAGTTTATTTGTTTTGTCCACCAGAAAACATATACACAACAAAGTCAGTCTGATGATCAGGTTCCGTTAGTGAATTTGTTTGGGGATTTGTTACTGTTTTATATTTTATTCGGGTAAGTTTAGCATTTTTCTTTTGCTATTTGCCTAGTGGAACAATACCGGTATCCCGTGTGAGTTATGCAACTTTGAAACCCCATATCTCACGAACCTTACATTATATTTAGACAAGTTTTATATTGTTTGAGAGACAATCTATGAGACTAATTATAATTATGTGATGAAGGTAAAATGTCGCGATCATCATACAAAAATCGGCAAAATTGAAAAGCGTGAATTTTTTTTTGAAAAGCTTCTCAATTGAATAACAAAACCTCCGATTTGTTCTTGTATTTTAACCTAATATGATATCGACACATTTGTAGAGGTTGAAGATAGCTTTTGAATGGTATCATTAGATTGAATTGATCGTGCACCAGTAGAATTGTATAAGCTATTTTATTCAATGTTTCTCCAATTCCGCTGCGCAAACTTGAGTTAAACAGCGTGTCGGCGATAGAAGTTTCTTTTCAGTTGATTATATTTTAAACGCTGTTCTTCCTTGTGTTCCGACCGGCTAATTTTTATCGATAATTGCTTTTCTGTTTTGACGCGAATTTCGCGGGCTTTACTGCACCTGACGTGTCACGCGTGGCTCTTGCATCTCGACTTTACGCGTCGTAGGACGTTCTTGTTTAATCTTGTTATGGTGTCAGTGGTGTGGTTTCGCATTATCCGCTTTACTGACTTAGCGTGTGGGTGGCATTTGGTCTCGTTAGGTAGAACTGTGGTGAGGGTATCGTAACCGGGGCCCCATATGACCATCGTCGTCATTTATTGCTTTAATTGTTCATGTATTTTTATATTTCATTCTGCTTTCATTTCATAACTGCTTTCTAAATTTAGTTGCTATTATATTCTAATAACGTGATCGTTCACGTTACCTGTCAGTTTCTTGTCGATTTAGGCCTTTGGAGCGTTATCATATGTAAGTTTATTTTCTATTAACTTTCTGGTTATGCATTTTCGTTCCGCCCTCATCTTGTGATTGTTTATTTCACTTTATTTACAGTCAACCGTTTTACAATAAACGCGTATGACATGGAACATCTGTGTGCCTAAATCTGAAAAAGTTGAATATGACGCATTTGTTGAAGAAGTCGCCAAATACTGGAGAATCTGAAGCAACAGTGGCTTCATCGTCGACGAGTATGGAAGAAAGTAAATCCGTAACCGATAATATAATTGAGAGCTTGCCATCCTTAACCACACTCAGACAAAAGCGTGTCAACATAGAGACAGAGCTTAAATCATTGTTGACCAATAGTCGGAATTTGATAAACGAAAAGGCTCGAAGATCGCAACTGGCATGCCCTAAAGCAGAGTTATATTTTAAACTGGCCGCTTATAATCAAATTATATCGAACATATTACCTCAAATTCGCAATGCAGAGTCAAAAGCTGCTTTCGAAGAAGGAGTTCGGAGCGTGATATCTGAAGTTGAAAGTATGATCGATGAAATTGATAGTTACATCGACCGCAAACCTGAAACATCGTGCGTGGCACCTGACGAAAAGAACTCTAATGTTTCAAGCGGAAGTCTGAAAGATAACAATCAGCCAGCTCTGGCCCGACAGCCGAATGGTGAAATGGGGGCGGCGATTGACCAACTTCGAGAGTCTAGCTTGGCGGAGAACGTAACCCACGAACCACAAAGACGAGAACACGATGATCGTCGAGAGACACCATCTCTCCCAAAGAGTAGCTTTATGAACACCAGGTTTAATGACTCTGACAAACGCGATGTGTTAGAATCAACTCGAAGAAAAATTGCCCGCTGTGAACCGGAGACTTTTACTACGACAGATACACGTCGTGAATATACGATTTCTTACACTTTTAAGACATTATCAAAATCCTTCACCAGCAAACCAGATGCCATTGCCAGACCAGTCGGTAGACTCCTGGATCGATAATCTCCAACCAAATCAAGCAGGATCTAGAACGGTAAATGATAAAATTTCTCTAGCTGAGCAAACGTGTTTATCTTTGAGTTTGAATTCTAAAATGTGGGCTGAGCATCATTTGCCGCCGGTCCAAATAAGTCCGTTTGATGGTAGTGCTATAAATTGGCCTAATTTCATTGAATTGTTTTATGAAAATGTGCATTCACGGTTGGACGACGATGGTCAACGCATGGTGAGATTGTCCTCATATTTGTCGGGTTCGGCGAAGCGTCGCGTTGAGGGATTAGGTACCGCCGGCAGTCATTACATACTGGTTTTGAAAGAATTGAAACGCCGCTACGGACAGTCTGTATTTATTGCACGGGCCGTGCTTGACCGTGTTGTGAACGGTAAGCATATTTCGCCTCTCTCGGCCGATAGATTACTTAATTTTCACTCAGACGTTCGTGACTGCGTGGTGAATCTAAAAAAGATGTGTTTTTTGGCTGACATCAGTAGTGTCGAGAATGTAAGGAGAGTTTCAAACAGGATTCCTCAAGAACTGAATTCGAGTTGGAATAAATTTGTTGTGGGTTTTATTCACGAGAACTCTAATCCGACATTAATAGACTTTGAGCAATGGTTGTGGGAAAGAACTGAGGGAATCGCCAATCCTTTTTCTCCTGATGTTACTTGCAATGTCACCAATAGAGTTGACAATGAGAGGCCCAAAACCGGTCGTCGCCAGTTAATTACGTCACCATTTTCAACGTTAACAAATTCGGAATCCGTTAATGCCTCATGCAGTGACGCACTACGTTGTCAATTCTGCAATGCTGGCCATTCTTTAAGAAGTTGTGATGTGTTTTACGGTGCAACCGATGACGTAAAACGTAATTTTGTTGTAGAGTACAGACTTTGCTTTAAATGTCTTGAACCGGGCCATCGTGCATTTATGTGTAGATGTGATGTCAAGTGTAGTATATGCAGTGGGAAACATCATAAATGTATTCATGGAATTCGCATGTTTGAAAGCGTCCCAAGACCAACAAACCGACAGGGTGTAAACAATGCGATGTCGGTAACCACTAGGGTTCAATTTCAGTTGCTACCTGTATTGGTTAGAGGAGCTAATGGACGCTCCGAATATACCGTTGCTTTGCTCGATTCGGCAAGTCAGGTTTCTCTCATTCATCCTAAACTTAAAACTAAATTGGATTTGCGTGGATGTCGTAAAAAGCTTATGTTACAACCCCTGGCGGGAACTGGGATTTCATATGATTCAGAAGCGGTTGGATGTTTTGTACGTGACAAATTAAATCCCGATGGCAAAGAACTAGCTCTAAAATCAGTTTTCGTATGTGACAATAGAATTCCCCACCCTGAAAGACGTCAAACGGATTTTGAAACTTTCCATCATTTACGCGGAATACCACTCCCTGATATTAAAGAAAACGAAGTTATGTTGCTCATAGGTGCGGACCATCCGTTTGCCCACTTTCAACTAGAAAGACGTGTAGGGGGGGATAACGAGCCTATTGCTATTAGAACGCCACTTGGGTGGACTTTGCTAGGTGCAAACAAACGCGCTGGTGAAGTCGACCTAATTCAGGCCAACTGTCATTTATTACACGACGATTACAATATCTTGCAAGAACAAGTTAAGCAGTTTTGGAGTACGGACGCGATAGGAATGGTTTACAACATGAAGCGAGCCGAATCAGTGGAAGATCGCGTGGCTGCGGATATGATTAGAGCTAAAACGTCCATTGTTGATGGGCATTATCAAGTTGGCTTTTTGTGGCGTCACGATGCTTCCATTATGCCGGAGAACACTCTTATTGCCCGCACTAGATTTAAAAATCTGAAATATCGACTTTTGAAAAATGACTGCCTGAGAGACATGTACTGCACGTCTATGAGGAAAAATATCGAACGTGGCTGGGTGCGAAAACTGACCGATAAAGAACGGGATACTTTGGGTCCTCGAACCTGGTATCTGCCCCATCATGGAGTTCAGAATCCGAATAAACCCGGCAAGATAAGAATAGTTTTTGACGCCACTGCTACATATTGTGGAATTAGTTTAAATAATCAGATATATTCGGGACCTGATCTTATTAATAATTTAATTGGTGTTTTACTGCGATTCAGAGAAAGACCCGTTGCATTGAACGCTGATATTGAAGCCATGTATCATATGGTGCGTCTACCGCAGTCAGACACCGATTCAGTTAGATTTTTCTGGCAAGAAGATCTAAGATCAACATACCCACCTGATGTATATCAGTTTTTAGTAAGGATTTTTGGTGCGGTCGACTCGCCATATGTTGCAAATTACTGCCTTAAACAAACCGCGCTTGATAATACCAGCCAATTTTCAACGGAAGCAGTAGAAACTGTTCTCAGGGATTTTTACGTAGATGATCTGCTTTCATCAAAATGGAATGATGACTCCGCTTTTTCCGTCGCACAAGAAGTTTCTAATATGTTTAGCAAGTAGGGGTTTTCGATTGACAAAATGCTTTCAAATTCCAAAACATTATTGTCGAAATTTAACACAGAGGATCGTCTTAATCCTGATGTTGATCTAGATTTTGATTGTTTGCCCGTTTCTAAGGCGTTGGGACTTCACTGGAACACTAATGACGATGATTTCTTCTTTATTTACAATTCGTTGGAAAAACCTGTTACAAAAAGAGAGGCGCTAAGCGCGACGGCATCGGTTTTTGATCCTCTCGGAATTTTAGCCCCTATTATTTTAACTGCAAAACTACTTATACGGGAGTGCTGGAGAGATGACTTGAAATGGGACGAAAATTTTGATGACCGTAGGAAGAATACTTGGGGAGACTGGACCGAATCGTTAAAACAATTGACTAATTTTCGTGTGCCTAGACAATATTTAGGAGTCTCGAAAACCGACGCCACTTATGAGCTCCACTTGTTTTGCGACGCGTCTGAACAAGCTTATGGTACCGTGGCTCACTTGCGTGCCAAGAAAGGCCAGTGTGTGAATTGTAGTTTTTTGATGGCCAAATCAAGAGTCTCCCCGATGAAACATATGTCCGTTCTCAGACTAGAGCTGCAAAGTGCCTTATTATCCGCGCGTCTGCTGAAATTTCTGCGCAAGTCTTTAACCCTGCCCATCACATGCGAAATGTTGTGGTCAGATTCTACGTGTGTTCTGAGATATCTCAGAAACACTAAAACAAGATTCAAAACATTTGTTGCAAATAGACTGCGTGAAATTCTTGACTACACTGAACCTGTGCAGTGGCGTTATGTCAATACCCAAAATAATCCAGCGGATTGTTGTACGAGAGTCATGCCCATGAACAAATTCATCGAAAGCGGACCAGAGTTTTTATTGTTGCCTGAATCATCGTGGCCCCAACAGCCGGTATTAGGAGCAATTAACAATCGTGATTGCGAAGTTCGCGGAAAGGTCTGTTTTACAGTTACGTGGCCGGAAATCCATAAATACGAATTTCTGAATGACAAAATCCGCATCGACAACTTAATCAGGGTGGAAATGTTTTCCACATGGTACTCGTTATGCAAGCGGACAGCTATGGTAATTGCAGTCGCGGATGTGTTTCGAAGAAAGACCAAAATCTTAGAGCTTCGTCCGAAACTTTTAGAACTAAGTGGCATGATGTGGATAATAGCGGCCCAGCGAGAGCATTTCGCAGAAGAAATCAATGCTTTGAAATCGGATAAATTACTCTCGTGCAGATCACCGTTATTGTCGTTAACACCTTTTTTCGATGGAGTCTTCTTGCGTGCAAATGGTCGCTTACAAGAGTCACCTGAGCCGCTTGAAACGAGGCATCCAATAATATTGCCATACAGTAGCACTAAGTGTAAAGATAGTTGTTCTTGTCGTGTGTCTTGGCTTCTGATGTGTGCAGCTCATTGTCGATTAGCGCATTCTGGCCCAGATGCAATGTTAACGTCGATCCGGCAAATATTCTGGCCATTGAAGGGTCGCAAACTTGCCAGTCGCGCAATAAAGAATTGTTGGCCGTGTCGGAAACGCTCAGCCCGCCCTCAACCGCCCCTTATGGCAAACTTGCCCGAGGCTCGTCTGACGGAGGCGAGGCCATTTTTGAACAGTGGGTTAGAATGTTAGATTACTTTGGTCCACTGTACGTGAAACGAGGACGGTCCACTGAAAAGAGATGGGGATGTATTTTTACTTGTTTATCGTGTAGAGCAGTGCATTTGGAATTGGCCTGGTCAATGGAAACTGATTCTTTCATATGCGCTCTTAGAAGGTTTACAGCAATCCGAGGCCCCGTGAAAGGAATATGGAGTGACAACGGGTCCAATTTCGTTGGCGCTTCAAGAGAATTACGGCAATTAATTTCTGATCTGGATCAAACTCGCATTACCAACGAATGTTTGAAGAAAGGCATTGATTGGAATTTTTCGCCACCTTATGCCCCTCATTTCGGGGGCATCTGGGAGCGGCTCGTCAAGAGTGCAAAGCGTACTTTGAAGGCAGTCCTTGGTAACCTATGTGTAACGGACGAAGTATTAACGACTGCGTTCGCTGAAATTTCCGATATTATGAACAGCCGTCCTTTAACTCATATTGGGGACAACGTACGTGATCCAGCACCCCTCACGCCCAATTGTTTTATACGTGGGCATACTGACGCAAATACACCTTTGGATACGGATTGTACATCAACAGCGCATCGGAGAAGATGGAGACAAACCGAAGCAATCTCGAATCAGTTCTGGAAGCGATGGCGGCGAGAGTATCTACCAATGCTGATGACTCGAACAGTGGCTGAAAGATCATAGGAATTTATTGATAGATGATACCGTAATTGTTGTAGATGACGGCGCGCCAAGAGGAAGTTGGCTACTAGGAAGAGTTATCAAAGTTTTCCCTGGAAAAGATAACCGGGTGCGTGTCGCAACCGTTAAAACAACAAATGGGGAAATAACCAGACCTGTGACGAAACTATGCCTCCTGGAAAATGAATAACCCCTTGAAGGGTTATTGGGGGCGGCTGTGTCGGCGATAGAAGTTTCTTTTCAGTTGATTATATTTTAAACGCTGTTCTTCCTTGTGTTCCGACTGGCTAATTTTTATCGATAATTGCTTTTCTGTTTTGACGCGAATTTCGCGGGCTTTACTGCACCTGACGTGTCACGCGTGGCTCTTGCATCTCGACTTTACGCGTCGTAGGACGTTCTTGTTTAATCTTGTTATGGTGTCAGTGGTGTGGTTTCGCATTATCCGCTTTACTGACTTAGCGTGTGGGTGGCATTTGGTCTCGTTAGGTAGAACTGTGGTGAGGGTATCGTAACCGGGGCCCCATATGACCATCGTCGTCATTTATTGCTTTAATTGTTCATGTATTTTTATATTTCATTCTGCTTTCATTTCATAACTGCTTTCTAAATTTAGTTGCTATTATATTCTAATAACGTGATCGTTCACGTTACCTGTCAGTTTCTTGTCGGTTTAGGCCTTTGGAGCGTTATCATATGTAAGTTTATTTTCTATTAACTTTCTGGTTATGCATTTTCGTTCCGCCCTCATCTTGTGATTGTTTATTGATTATTTCACTTTATTTACAGTCAACCGTTTTACAATAAACGCGTATGACATGGAACATCTGTGTGCCTAAATCTGACACAGCGACGTTCCTTAATTACTTCGTTACGCAACGACGTTTCCCAATTACGTTGCAACCAAAGTGTTGCAACGTAGCGACTCCGCGTTCCTTATGTAAACCAAACCTAAACCGCGGCCGATGCTACGATACTGATATAATCGGAACTCCAGCTGTGAACGACAAAATTCGCGATTGCGTAATTTAAAACGTTCCGCAGAACAACGTCGTCTGAACGTCAATGCCTAATTGTACTTTGTGTCGTTACGAAAACTTGGCTTTTAATCATTTACCGATTGACGTACCGTAGTTAATTAATTTCAATCAAATATCATAAGAAATGCATTACACGTCGCGGAAAAATTTGAGAGAGAAGTACACTTCATATATATATCTATGGTAGGATGCTCAGCACCGAATTGCACCGGAAGATATGAGAAAGGGAAAATAATGTTCAGGTTCCCAACAGATCCTTCCAGGCGTAAACGATGGTCAATCAACTGCCGTCGAGACAAATGGTTTCCTTCTAAAAATGCTTGTCTGTGTCAGGTAACATTTATGACGTTTTACGCCTGTGTAACTCTTTCACATTTATTTATTTTCTATTGCTCAGGTAAATTTTGACTTTGGTAGTGCATGGCGATTGTTCTCATGAATTTTATAATGGCTATGTTGACACATTTCTATCCTTCTTTAGGATCATTTTGAGAAATCTCAGTTTGAAGGTAAAATATTAGATGGCAAAGCCAAGTTGAAACCAAACGCAATTCCTACTCTATTTGATGTCCCAAATTGTCCTAAACTATTAACAAGCCAGCGACGTGTTCTCAAGCGTACAGTGTCTACAGAGCCGAAAAAGATTGCTTCTCCAGGTGGTGAGTATTTATTACTAAAATTACGTAGCTAAGTTAGTGCTCAAATTCATATTAGATACATCTTAAAATATTTATAGATATAGCTGAGGAGCATTGCTACTGTAGAAAAATGAAGAATGTTAGTGATATTGAGGGTGCAGTATTTGTTGAGAATACCGAGATGTTGGAAGTTTCTATGGAAGAAAACAGCGAGTTAGGTGGAGGAGATACATTGGAACAGGTTGATGATGGATGTGTTCAATGCAGAGAGCAGGAACTTGAGATTCGACGCTTAAAAAGACAAGTAGGCTTATGTTTTTAAGTTCAAGAAACACAACAGATCTTTATAGAATAAATGAACCACAAATATTGGTTACTTCCATCTGGATAAATGAGTCAGGAGTTCTTGAGTTTGTTTCTAGGTGCAGTTTTCGTGCTGTCAAAGTGCCAAAGTATGTTGTTTATATACCACATGGGAAGGAAATAACTTATCAAAAATTTTCCTCATGGTTTACCCCAACTTGCAATTGTGTTCATATGCGTCTAGATTCATCAGTTGAAGCAAAAAATAGATATTGTGGAGTTCAGGGTTGGTAGTTTTTCAAACGAAGATCAAATGGGTGCAATGAAGAACTCATCGGGAAAGCCAGCTATTTGGGAAAATGAGACTGTTTCAACAGCGCTAAAAATTTGGTGTGCAACTGGAGTGCAAGGGTGAAATTATGTTAATCATATTTATACATAATTGTTAGTTTCATCATACGTATACAGCATATTATGTGCTATGGTTTTGGAACTACAGTCTCTCCGAAACGTAATGATGTATCAAATTCCCATGGTTATATTGTTCAAATTACTTTAAAACGAAGATATAAAATTCGGTAGTCATTTTTCATTTTGCTTTCAGATACAAATTCCTTAGCAGTCTCGTTTACCCATTGCCCATACCCATTGGAGTATTTGGTTGTATTAAGATCTACAGGTTTTAAATATAACCTTGAATAGCAGAATAGTCTAGCACAGGGGTGGCCAACCTATGGCGCATGCGCCAAACGTGGCGCATTGCATGATTGGAGGTGGCGCATTGCATCTTTGACAGGAAAATAAAGGAGGCTGTCATTGAAATTTATTCATTCAGTATTTAATTCAGTGATTCGGTAATTCTCTAAATGAGTGGTTTTCTGTAAACTTAATTGGTAAAGTTTCTTCTTGTGTGTGTAAAGGCGTGTATTAAAGGTTGATTTTTGTTTGTAAACATTTGAAGTTGTGTACTTTTCAAGACTTAAGCTTCGCTTTTATATATTTTGTTACCCAACACAGTGCGAAAGAAAATGAACAAAAGAAAGACGGAAACTGATAGTAAGCGTGAATTTAATGAACAATGGGAAAATGAGTTGTTATTTATTGCAGGTCCGTCAAGAAAACCGTTGTGCATTGTTTGTGAAAAAACTCTTTCAAAAATAGAACTCCAAGAATAAAAAAACTTGCGAAAGTAAAACAGCAGCAAAAGTCTCATAAAGGCGGTACTTAAATAAAATTGATCAGTTTTATTCATTATACTTCCTCGCTTAATTTCTATTCATGTGAAGTTGTAAATTGTAAAAACTACATACACGTTAATATATATGTGTGTGTATTATAAATTTATATAATTTCAACAAGAAGCGAACATTAGGCGTGGGAATACAAGATATTTACGGCGCATCTGAAGCATTATGTTTAAAACGTGGCGCATGGAATGTGAAAGGTTGGCCACCCTTGGTCTAGCATTTAATATTCACTGTCAAACTTCAACATTTATATCTGTCAACGATATGTCGACAAACAACAAAGACCTGGCTTCTGTGAGCAACATTTCCAAACCAAAGCCAAAACAACCACTAAGTAGAAGCCTTCCCGACCCAGGCCTATCACCCATTGGTCCCATCATCCAGCAGCTTGAGGGACCCTCAAATCTTCAGACAGCTCTCCAGGAGGCAATTCAGAGTAATATAATAAACCAACTTCCCAATCTAATAGCCAAATGTATCTCAGAAAATTTCAGCTCTGGGAACATCTCATCCGAATATCTTCCCATAAGTCCTGGTTTGAAGGAATGCATGGAGGTGCAAATGCTATCTCTTAAAGAAATAAAACACGATATTGCTTCAATTAAAGAGTCCCAAAATTTCCAATCTGAAAAGTATGATGAAATTTTAGCAAAGCAAAAAAAACTGATGAAACACTGATACAACATGGTAAAAGACTGAAAGAATTAGAAGATCTAGTCTATAACCTTGAAGAAGATCTATTCTATGCAACTGAAAAATTAGAGGAACATGAACGAAGATCCAGATTAGACAACTTGGAATTTCACGGTATTGCTCCAAAAGATAACGAAGACACTGATAAATTGGTTATGGAAATAGGCAAAATGATCCATGTGGATATAAAGCCATCGGACATCTCGGTTACCCATCGCTGCCCTACACACAACACCAAAATTCATAAACCTATTGTGGCCAAATTCACCAACCGGAGGATACGTGCCAAAATTCTTAAAAACCGCCATCTAGTCAAAACTGCGGTTAACACAACATCTGTAAGAAACATGTCGAAAGTTTTCATTGTCGAAAATCTAACTGAAAAAAACAAGAACTTGTTTTACCAAGCAAAAATTCTTAAATAGCAATGCGGGTATGCTTTCTTATGGACCTCAAATGGAAAAGTGCTGATGAAAAAAAACAAAGACACCCATACGTTACCTATTATTGACGAAGAATGTTTGGACAAAATAAGATAAGTCTGTTTTTCTTTCATAGTGCCAAAATCCTTTATTACATCTTGTTCAATTTACAATACTCTTTTAGCAGCCTGTTAACTTTACATGCAGTTCATACTAACTCTTGTCACCCATGTCATTTAATCGTCCACCCTATACACCAGCCCGGTAATACTCAATTATTTTATTTAAACTATAATTTCGGCCAAGGAGCTAACTTCCGATCCTAACTTTAAATGGGAGTCTACAAATTTCCATCCACATATGTTCACAACCCCTAGTCGATACCTCGAAATATCCGATATCGACACAGTATCATCCAGCTTCTTATTGTCAGATCTTATTATTTTGCACCTTAACATAAGATCCTTGGCTAAATATGCGGATGACCTGATAGAACTTATATCTAATTTTTATATCGCACCACAAATTATCGCCTTAAGCGAAACTAGGATCCATATTGAGGGTACGGTACCATTAGCAAAATTGACATTCCTGGTTACATATTCATTCACGCTCCCTCCCCAACTCAAGCGGGTGGTGTGGGATTTTACATTAAAAATACCGTGAATTATCAAATAAGTCATGAATTCAACCTATCTTTTCAAAACTGTGAGGACCTGTGGATCGAGATGAAGTATTCCAAACCAAACTCAAAATTCCTAAGCCTCATTATTGGTGTGATTTATAAGCACCCTAAGCGAAACATTCCATCTTTCCACTGGGGCAATGGCTAGTTTATTTGACAAGTTGGCTTTAGCCAAAAAGCAATTCTTAATCCTAGGAGACTTTAATATAAACCTTCTTGATAATCATGACAACTCGACTTCTCAATATTTAGATATGCTCATGTCCAAGTTCGTGTTTCCAATTATCACAAAACCCACAAGAGTCACCTCATCCTTCCAAACATTGATAGACCATATATATACCAACACCACAAAATTTTGTTCATCGTCATTTATTCTTCTCAGTGATCTTACTGATCATTTCCCAATAATGTGTACTCTACCAACAACTAATGTCAATGTTAAGACAAAAAGTCGCATGAAACGTGACATGGCTAATTTTTCTGCAGATTCATTCAGATCTGAAGTTGAGTCGATGTGTGACAATTACACCAGTGCTATCTTAGGTGAGGAAAATTTCAATAGCTCATTTGATCTCAAGTGGCTAATTAACAAACATGCACCATTGAGACCCTTCTCTCGTCGAGAAAATAAATTATATTCTAAACCTTGGATCACCAGAGGAATCCGAAGGTCCATTAAAAACAAAAATAATATGTTTGAAAAAAAGTACTTGAATGGTACTAATCGTCTTTAAAGATAGCCAAAGTTATACCAATATTTAAAAATGGCAACAAAAATAATCCCTCAAACTATAGACCAATTTCTGTCTTATCTTCTATTGGCATTATTTTGGAAAAATTATTGCATACTAGAATTATCAGTTTTTGTACCAAATTTAACCTAATCGACAAAAGTCAATTTGGATTTCAGACTAGTCACTCAACAAGTCATGCTATTCTTGACGTTACTTCATACATTTATGATAAAATAGACAAAGGCGAGTTTGTCTGCTGCACTTTTTTAGATCTTAGAAAAGCTTTCGATACAGTGAATCACAGTATCCTTACTCATAAGTTAGCACATTACGGTTTCAGAGGTACCGCGGGCAAATTACTATGTGATTACCTGGCCAATAGATTCCAATACGTTGAATTGGGTTCCAATAGATCTCCAATGATGCCCATTCATTGTGGAATTGTGCAAGGATCTGTACTTGGACCTCTTGCGTTTCTGAATTTCATAAACGACTTATCTAACAGCTCAAATCTTTTGAGCAAATTATTTGCTGATGACGCTTGTCTGCTTGCCAGTGCGACAGATTTGACCACATTACAAAATAAGGTGAACACTGAAATAAATAAAATACATGACTGGATGACATGCAATAAACTTACAGTAAATATAGATAAATCTAAAGTCATGTTATTCAGTCCAAACTCTCGCATTAGACATATGAATTTTTCAATAAAAATTAAAGGTTCCGAATTGGAAATAGTCTCGTCTTATAAATATCTTGGGCTCCACATTGATAGTCAGTTAAAATGGAATACACACACCACTGAAATCCATGTAAAACTGTCAAAATCCGTAAAAAATTATTTACAAAATTCCACCTTGAGAACGGTTTACTTTGCACTTTTTCAATCTCATATACAATATGCCATAGCTGCTTGGAGCTCTACAACTCAGTCCAACATGCATAGATTAGAGGTTTTACAGAATAGAGCCGTTAGAATCCTCGCTAGAGCACCATATCGTTCGAATTTAAATTATTCATACCATAAAACTTGAGTGCTTAAATTGACTGACATCCATAAACTAGAAATCTCAAAAATTATGCATCAATTTCAAAACAATCAATTACCAGCAGCTTTTGACAACTATTTTGTCTCGCTAAGTTCAGTGCATGAACATAACACTCGTTCTTCAACAAGGCGTAACTACTTTGTTCCTCGCTTCTCACTTGCCAAATCCCAAAAGTCCCTCAAATTCATAGGTGTGCGAATTTGGAATAACCTACCCCAAACCCTACGTGATTCGTCTTATGCCACTTTCAAAATAGAGTATAAAAAACTCATGATTTCCACCTACCAAGCTTTTGACAACTATTTTGTCTCGCTAAGTTCAGTGCATGAACATAACACTCGTTCTTCAACAAGGCGTAACTACTTTGTTCCTCGCTTCTCACTTGCCAAATCCCAAAAGTCCCTCAAATTCATAGGTGTGCTAATTTGGAATAACCTACCCCAAACCCTACGTGATTCGTCTTATGCCACTTTCAAAATAGAGTATAAAAAACTCATGATTTCCACCTACTGGTCCAGTTTAATTTGCAAAGTGAATTCTCCAGGATTACTTGATCATACAATGAGTTTACTCGACTTGATCCACAGTCCTCGAGTCCAAGTAACCTGTAATAAACATTTTACTATTCTTAATAAATGGAATTATCAATGTTTATTTGGCAAATTTTTCGGATATCTACTTAAAATACTTTTATTGATATATATTGTTAATATACTGACTCACTTATGTCCTCACAGATATATGTTGAGGTACATTTACGCTTTTTCAAAAAACAAAATGTCTCAAAAATTAGAGGCAGCATATGCCAGGATTCTGGTTCCAGTAGATTTGACAGCACAGTCTAGGCCAAAATGGGATTATGTTGATCAGCTACTACAGCTGTCCTACTGACCCATACTATTAGTATATTTATTTTATATGTTTGTAATTCTGTGAATTTTCTATTTTTATAATTGAGTGACTTATATATTCTGCATGAATTTCCTTATCATAGTAGGCTATTGTACTGTTGTGACTTTAAATTTATTGACATAAATTCTGCATGAACCGTCCTATTGAACTGTTGAACAGTTGTGTATATACGTTGTTTTAATTCAATGATTTCTATATTCTACATGACCTATTCGATCGCACTTCAGAACCGTTGTGATTTAAAATTCTGAAATTAGTTATATTTATGCCACACAAAATGACTATTTGTAAGTAATGTAACTCAATGCAATTACCTGGTTTAGTGATCTCTTTATCCGTTGCCCAAACCTGTAGATACATTTTATTCTTTTTTCTCTCTTCATATTATCCTCGTGTACAAATTCGTCCCCAGCCTTTGCATCTTCATGTACTTGTGCCGGGTATCTGTGCCGGATTCCTTTTAACTTTTCCAATGCTTGTATAATCTCGTCATAGTTGATTGGCGGCTGATCTTCTGTTTCAAGTCTTGCGTACATAGCTTTCTTTGCTGCGGCTACGTCAAATTTCTTGAACCATATTTCTAACAGTTCTTGACAAGTGTCATTCGTAATCTCTTCTTTTTTCCCGTGACTTAATTTATTATCAAATTTCGTCACGAGAAACCTTCTTTTTGCACCGTCTTCATCAGCAACACCAACAATATGTGACAGTGCATCTTCATCATTAGTAGTGATGAAGGCTAAAGTTGCATTCTGATCCTTTCGGGTAGAGTGCACTTTAGCGCTCCACTCATTGTGGAACATTGTATAAATGGTGGCTAGTATCTCTGGAGAACCCCAGAAATGTTCGCCAGCTTCGTCAACTCGTATTGCAACTTGTTGACCGTGTAACTCAAACTGTCCCACACCCTTTGAATCATTCACCATAATCATGGCGATTTCTTTAGGGAAGAGAAGTTTAGCTACCAAGCTTTTACCAGCACCAGCCTGTCCTTCGAAAAGGAAGTGCGGTGAGAGCATTATTTTACCGTGTCTAGCTTCAAGAGCAGCGTACAGTAAATATGCTTCTAATTCTATCTTAGATAGCAACTTTCCACCATATAGGCTTTCAGCAGCATTTGATAGAATGCTTTTTAAGATGCCGTATGCACGGGTCCCCTTCATTGGGGGGTCTTCATTTTTTGTCATTGTCTTCATTAGATGCTTTAACGAGTTGTTCGTTGTTGTCGGCCAATTACGATATGAGCGTCTGATGGTGATTTCATTGATACCGGCAATACCGAATTCTTCAAGCAATGTTTTCTCCCAAATTTGTTCGGAAGGTTTGCTTTGGAATCGTTTCCGGATCTCTAAGACACGATGATCAATGCTTCTCTTCACATCTTTTGAATCAGCATTAATAAATGCTTTTAAACTCTCAGGAATATTAAACTCTGCAGTCTTATACATGTAGCGTACGTACTGCACTTTATTTCGGGTAGGTTGTAGATAATCGTTATGGAGTGTAATGCTCCATTCTCTCAGCAGCTTCACGATCGCATTTTTCCTGTGTGACGAGTCTGCTCCGCCACTGATGTTGCCAACGATGCTAATGGCGGTGTTGAGCCCTCGAACGGTCCGACCCATATTGCCAGACCTCCTGGACAAACTCGATGAAAATTCTGCACAGACTTTGTCGTGAAGGACCAGCACCTGGCGCGCGTTCCGCCAGGTACTTGTGTCCATTGAATGATGTCTTCTTCTTCTGTGCGCTTCTTTTTTGTAATAGGTGTAGAAATTCTCTTCTTCGCGCTGTCGTTTCTGTGCCATATTTCAAGCAATCGATGTCAACGTATTCACTTATGATCTCTATGTCTGGTTCACCGATGAATATGCTCTCATAATTTTGCGCTCCTATATATTCAAACATTTCAGACTTTCTATTAAACGAAACGATATCTTTAACTTAAATAACCTTATTGTCTCGTCCCGACCCCCACAGCTCATATAATAGACGCCGGGATACTTTTCAGACGTAAACGAACATATATTTAAAACGAGAGAACTTAAATATGCAAATTAGCTGTTTAAACTAAGCGTGATTATCCATCGCTTTAATGTCTTTGAATTCTAATTCAATAACACGTGTTCTGGGAAATGATAATGTCATCGTTTCGTCGCCGCCTGCCCATCTCGGGAATGTCGTAACACTTCCGCTGATGCTCGAGTACATAACACAGCTTCTCCATTTCGCCCAATCACTGCATCTATACCAATGACTTCCGTGAATGTCTTTTGTCATTGTGTCAGCACTTGTCCAATCTCCAGTAACACTCGGATCACGTAAGTTTACACTTGTTTCTCATGATGAGTCATTTCAATACTTCCAAAACCCCAGCTCTTCTTTTGACCTCCTGGGTTAGTTAGAATATGTAATTCTGGTTCAGCACAAGCACTGAAGGTCATACTGCTTCTACTAACACTATCAGTTGTAGATTTCCCTGTTTCATTTAAATTTTCATAACAACAGATATTCATTATAGGTAACCCTCCAGATGCATTTGCACTGCCGTCAGTTGTTGCCGTCCTTATTTTTGGTGGATTAGATTCATCATATTGATATGTTGTCTTCACAGTCTTTTCCCGAGGATGAAATAAATAAGGATGATGTGTGCTTGTTCTGTAACTCTTCACTCTAAAATGACTAAACATTTTCAATGGATTCATTCCTTTATCTGTGTCCCAAGGTAATACAACTTTTCTTTTTTTTCAATGCCGCTCCATCTATTGTTTCTTGAGGTAAACCAAAGCTTTCTTTATATAAATTACTTTCATAATAATGTCCATCTCCGTATTGATCCGACCAACCAGCTGCCACCGTACCGCTATTTGTTTTCCATGCACCATATTCTATTTTCTCTCTTATAATTACTTTGTAATGGGAGCTGTCTGTTCCTTTTGCCCAGTCAGAGCTGACAACACGAATTGGTACGTTATGTGCGCCGCCACCCCCGCTAGATGAAGAGCCAGCACCTCCGGTTCCCCGAAGCTCGTGAGAATCACCAGAGGTAGAGTCGACAACCATATTTTCTTGCATTTCGATTTCTCTAATTGCGGCATCAGCAGCTCTGTCTTCTTCTTCAGCAGTTTGTTTTTCACGCTCCTTCCTCTCTCGCTTATACTGATTAATTAATCGATATGGCTTCCAACCACTCCTTAAATTACGGCCATCAACTTCATTTTCATAACTATCGGGTGTCGTACCAGTTTCATTGTCTGCTTCTGTTTCTTCAGTAATTGTTTCAGTTTCCTCAGTAATAACATCATCACCTTCTTCAGCTCCGTCTTCAGTATTTTCTTCATATACGGTATGTAACTCTTGAAATTCTGATTCCAAATCTTCAATTTCTCGTCCTAATTCCCTATCTCTTTTTTTCATATTCACTAATAATAAATCTGCCCATCGCACCCATCTCATAAGTTTCCAACTTTCTAACACACTTCTTAACTCTTCTTCTAAGCCGTGCTCAACATAATGTTCTATTCCAGTTTGAACCGCTTCTTGTGCAGTATCTTCAATTGTTTCCAGTAAACTATTTGCTTCTTCTGCAGGGGATATACCGCTTTCACTGCTTCTAATAAAATCATCATCAAAATATTCAGCAACATCTCCATAACCAGCTTTTTCTAAGCTCACTCTTAATATTTCAAACATTCGTTTTGTGCCAGCATCAATATCTTCATCACCATAATTTTGTGCTCTAGCTCCTAAATCAATCTCTTCATTTCTTTTGTCATTTAATGAGCTCCACCAATATCCTTGCCCGGTATCATTCTTGGATTCAAGGCTTTTTGCAATCCTCAATCCAACCACTTTATCAACACCTAAATTTTCCATAAAGGTAACAAAATCTCCTCTTCTCCATCCTTTCAATATAATATTAATTTCATCTGTCAGGATTTGTCCGATATGTTTTGAGCTAAATCCGTATAATTCATCACCACGTTTCGCAACCCATCTTACAGTTCCTTTTATCTTTTTATATCCTCCTCTAATTTTCTGTCCTACTTTCGTGTTTTTTGCTCTATTCTATAAGTGATAAGCTTTTTGTCCTCTCGGTGTACGCATCATTTTTTTCCATTGTGCTTTTCTAAATCTACTAATATTCGGCCATGCATCAGCACAGTGCCGCTACCGTCCAACTCAGCTTGCAATATGGTGCTCCAGTCACTTAGACGTTACCGTATTTGTGCCGTAGTTGTCATGGTTATCTGCCAGTCGGCGTTCGGAGTCGTTTGCTTAGTGAGTCCGGAAATATCCGGTCTTTTTAAACATATTTCTGCCAATGTTAGTATTTTGGCGTCCGACTCCTCACTTTAGTACTATATTTAGTTCGATTTTTGTTCTTGTATAACCCAATGTTAGACTATTCATAGGTGTCGTTGCTCGATAACCAATGCTGGTTTATCGCGTCCCCTTTCACCCTGAAATGCATTATTTTCCTCTCTTTTCTTATCTCGTTCTGTATGTACAGTGTGTATTTCTTGGTGATAAAATAAATTACTGATTACTGATTACATTGCCATCCAATCGTACACTGTGTCGGCGCATTGTCGCTTTAGACTTTGCTCCGGGAATACAGCATACTGTGTTGGAATGGATGCAATTAAAAGGTACGAATATGACTGCGGCGGAAAAGCTTTGTTCTTTGATGGTTGATGAAATTCAAATTGCCAAGGCAGTGGATTTTGATCCCGGACTACATCGTCTTATTGGATACATTAGTTCCGAGTTTTCTACAGCAAGGGAACCGGACTCCACCGTAGCATCCCATATTATATGTTTCATGGTTAAAGGAATAACAACAAAGTGGAAGCAACTAATAGGTCAGTAGAAATATAAGATATTTTGTATAAATCTCCGCCAATAATGCAAAAATGTGGCATTTAGAAAAAAAACACCACTGCCACGTTCTAAAATAACAATATAATAATTATCCAGCTAGAGTTAGAAATGCTTTGAAAATCTAAATCTCCACTGTGTAATTACTGATTTTCTTATTTTGAGCGCTGGTGTAGGTGTTTTTTGCCGGATCTTTTGCCAAATATCCGAAATATTATCATACAAAGAGAATTTGTTTAAAAATCAGGCATCGTTGATAGGATATGATATTCATCAAGTCTATGTGATTAATAATATTTTACTATTTCTGCATATTTTTATACTGGCATGTCCGTATCCCCATACCAACTGTGGGGGGTGATTAAGAATATTATTTGCCATCTTGGAAATTGCGAATACAAGGTTTTTAATGTGGTCAGTGACATGGCTTCATCCAATCAGGGTATGTGGAAAGAAGCTGGAGTAATTACAAACAGGTAGAAATTTATTAGCATGTTATTATTAGTTGAAATATTACAATAGGTTCATTCATATTTTTTTACTTATACAGGTTTCAGATTTCATCATGTGTTGCGCATCCCTATTTTGCCGAAGAAAATCTATATTTTATGGCCGATGTGCCTCATCTGCTAAAAAATTTGAGATCTGCTTTATTGAAATACGATCTGGAACTACCAAAATCTACTGTAGAAAAATATAATTTGCCAACTTCAATAGTGAGTGCTACTACTGTACTTAGTTACCATATTACGTATGTTTAATTAGGAAATAATATAACCCATTTCATTCTTTATCTTAAGGTGTCCTCAAAATTTTTCCATGCATTGGTAGAGTTACAAGATGGAAGAGAACTGAAACTAGCACCTAAACTTGCGAGAAAAAATGTCAATCCATCACACTATGAGAAAATGCGAGTGAACACTGCATCACAGTTAAGTAAATAATAATTTAAATGCTTATGATGGGTTTTCGATACTGCAGTTTCCATCGTTTTATATTTTTGCAGTTACTAAGCCATAGCACTGCATCGGCCTTGAGAGCACTTGTCGCCCACAAATCTATGAATGAAACTGCTTTGACAACCGCCTTCTTGTGAATAATTGGTTTGATATAACCAATCGCAGACATATGGGAGATGCTCCATTCGTCAATTCTGAAAAAAAATTGGATTTCTTATCTGAGGTGAATATTTTAAATTAGAAATAGGGTGGTTACCAGTATTTTCTTGTTGGTGTTTGATCAGAATAAATGCTGCTAGTTTGGAGTTTTTTCGAGGAATAAACTACCAAGCGACAAGCATTAAATTGATATTGATTTACATTTTTGTCACCACTATTTCAGGCATTGCATGTTATAAAAAATATGAAATTTGTCGCGACTGGATGGAAGCCTGTGCAGTCTGGATTGCAATTGTCTACAACTACAATTTTACGCCTACACCAGAAGCTGGTAATAAATGGTGAAGTTATTTTTCTCATGGCTGGGAGGTTGACGCAGGATGTCTTGGAAAATTTATTTTCACAAGTAATAATGGAAACTTGAATTTTCTTTCAAATGTTAATTCATTTCAAAAGAAGTTTGTAGTATATTTAATTATGTTTCAGGTTCGTGGCAAGGGAGTTCAACACCCGAAACCAACGCAATTTCGTGTGGCTGTCAAACTTATTTCCGTCTCACAATTTATGAGCACCCCGACCTCAACAAACTACGAGAACGATGATACACATCATTTGCTCGAATTTATCAAAACAAATTTAGATAACCAGCAATTCGACTCTAAAAAAGAAACAAGCGACGAATCCAGTGCAATGGAGGTGTTGCTTGGTGCTGCATCGGTTTTCTTTGACACATGTGAAGCGGATGCTTTGTATTATTTATCAGGTTGGACTGTACTCAAAGAAGTGAAAAAACAAGATTGTGGAATCTGCAAAGATGCGTTTGTTTCTATGGAAAGGGTCAATCCCGATGAATGCCCACAATCGTTATTAACTCTTTTTCGGTCTTACATACCTGATAAAAATTTGAAAATTGATAGTTTCACTCAATATTTATGCCACCCATCCAAAAAGCAATGTTATTTTTGCGCGAAGTAAGAAACTATATTTCGCGCCAATATCAATGCTCTCCACAATATATGTTCGCCAGTTACTTTTCTGATAGATAAAGTTGACTGCTTGAAATATAATTTCCCATCTTGCCAAAATGTCGCTTTTAAAATTTTGAAACGTTTTGTCAGTATAAGGTTGAATATTCACGCAAAAGAGGTGACAAATAAACTTATTGAAAAACAGTATGCGAGTAAAACTGCAGCAAGAGCTCAAGTCAAATAGATAATATATTATACAGTCCAGATTGTTAGATTCATGCAGGAACTCCACAATTTATTCGCATATATTTTCATTTAGTACTGTATAATAAATTATTTGATTCCCTGTGATATTTGAATTGCCATCTTTGTACTTTTTCAGTGCACACATTCTGGAACTTCATAATCTATTCACATATATTTTCTTGTGTACTGTGTAATCAATCATTCAATTCACTGTGATATTCGAATTGCCATCATCGTACTTGTTCTGAGCACACATGCAGGAACTCCATAATTTATTCACAATTCTAATTATGCGGTACTGTATAATGTGGGTTAAATATAACTTCGCAGTGCAATTATAAAATATATAAACTAATTTGGCAAATTTTATACCAAACTCTACGCGTCACACATTGAACGAAAATATAAGAATGTATAGTCTTTGATTTATTACATCCTATATACCAAACTTCCGCTCACAAAAATAAATTTGGTTAGTTCCAGTATCCACTAGATTTTTTTTTCTTAACGAAAATTGCATTATGTATTGTTTTATAATTTATTTATCATTGTATCATTATTATTGTTTTCTGGTTTGACGAAATAAATAAATTCTCTCTGTTCTTTCAACCTCGATATATGCCGATATCCTTCATTTCATGCATATCTTATATTTTTTTATTATATTTTAACAATGTACACATTGTTGAACAAATAGTTGCAAGTTCCCGTAGTGTAGTTCCGTCAGTTTGTTAAAATAGGTTCTGTACAATTAGAGATACTTACATCAGAAATTTATACAGTAAAATGTGTATCTCTTTGTTTAATATTTTTGGTCTTATTGGGTGTCGATTTATCAAGTGAAGTTGGATGACTTTAACCATAACTTCGTATATGCTGACCATACCGCCGAGCCGGATATCTGAGAAATTTAAATAAATTTTCCAAAATAATGATCATTCGTTTTGCCGCTGCGATAGCTTGCTCCGAATTAAGCATCTTTTTTTTTATATTCAACTGTTTAACAATCGCAGGTTTAAAATCACTTAGTTATGATCATACAGCGATAGAACTCTTGGACACAAAATGGCGGGTGTGACGTCACACAAGCGCTTATAACGTTACCAATGGTTGTCCTCACTTGTGTTATAGTCACTTAGAGTAGGGCTGGGTAAGATTAACCGGACGAACACTGGATTATCAACATCGGATTTCATATGTATAATGAATTGTTTATGCAACTGTTTTTATTTTTCTACAAATAATTGGAACTCAATACATGCAATTGTTTTTCAAAAAAAAAAAAAAATTTGTATAAAACATTGATTGACACTTTAATTGGCCTAAAAAATATGATCAAATAATTCCATAAAAAAAATGGTAATTCGTTATATTTTACCCGTTAACTGACATCTCTGGAACAAATCATCTTTATACCGTACAATTTCTTCAAATATGATTACGTCATCGGAAATTTATCTCTTGTGGCGTTTAATTCAGAAGAATATTACTAACTGTGTGGGTAAGAACTCAATAAAAGTGAAAAATAATGGAAGTACCAAGGTTGCTGATTATGAAAATTTGACAATGACGTATTTAGAAGCAGTTTTCGGTCCTTTTCAAAATATATTGTCCACGATTTCATTGCAAAATTGGATATTCAATGTCATACAACAAGTGCGCAGTTGATGCCGTTTTTCTTTATGTTATATATCTCTAAGTAGACTTTGCACATCAAACACTGATAATTTGTCACATAAATGACGTTTAACAACGAAATTAGGTTTTTAAAAGAGAGCAATCATGAAACTATCTCGATTCGTGAATAATTTTGAGCGATACCGATAAGAACACGCGAAATTGCTTTATAAGCATTGTGACGTAACACGCAGTAATTATAAATTATTACGTCACGCGGCGGTTAACCGGTTAACGGTTAAAGTGTTTTCCCTGAAATTCCCAGCCCTAGCAGTTAGACATTTGATTTCTCTTCTCATAGGTGAGTCAAGTTGCCTTTTTTCAATTGATTAGAACTCAATACATGCAATTGTTTTTCAAAAAAAAAATTGTATAAATCCAAAACTAACACTTTAATTACCTTAAAAAATATATATTTAAATAATTCCATATTGGCTGCGAAATTTAATTTGGCAAAAAAAAAGTCTTAGAATCAGGTAATTCGAATATAAAAGCAGCTCTCCAAATACTCAAACATCGATTTACTTAATATACGATGTCAGGAAAGATGATGATAGTGTGAAGCCTGGGGTGTCCAAGCTAATCTATGTCGGTGTTTCATTGTTCGTTTTATCTGTTCCTGCATGTATGCTGCAGTGCTATGCTGACTATACCCCAGGCCTATAACATGATTAGTTAATTTCTTATAGTCATATATATTCTATCTCACAAGCTGAGATTTCATTCATGATACATTTATTATTGATTTATCTTTCTTTCTTAATTTTGGATTTTGAAAAACATGAATGTGAACTATTTGTATTGCATTTTGGGCAATAATCATTGGTTTCAGAAGATAAAAAATACATGATCTTTTAGATATTATTAACTATAGAGAATTCTATCAAAATCATGGAATCCACTGAAAACATATTTCCCTGCCTTATCTGTGATGAAAACTTTTCATCAGGCCCCAGTTTGGAAAAGCATATGTTTTTGCACATTAACCATGAAACTGGCGATTTAAGCGAATACACAACTAACAACATTGTGGGAACTAGTCTGCCTGTCAACCCTGAGAAGCCTGACGGAAAGGACAATATCAGTGGCTACAGCAGAGATGAACCATTTGCTTGCCAACAATGTGGAAAGAACTTCAAATCGAAGTGGCATTTAAATGTGCATATGAGAACTCACGCGGTTGAAAAACCTTATATATGTAAACGATGTGGGAAGTGTTTTTCACAACAATGTAATTTAAAAGTGCATACGCGAACTCATACTGGAGAAAAACCATATGTTTGTAAACAATGTGGAAAGTGTTTTGTGAAGTCATCTGATTTACATAGGCATGAGCGAATTCATACTGGGGAGAAACCTTATGTTTGTAAACAATGTGGTAAGGGTTTTTCGCAATCATCTAGTTTACAAGATCATACACTAACTCATACTAGAGAGAAACCTCATGTTTGCAAGCAATGTGGAAAACGTTTTTCACGATTGTCTAATTTACATGTGCATAAGCGAATTCATACTGGGGAGAAACCTTATGTTTGTAAACAATGTGGTAAGGGTTTTGTGAAGTCATCTGATTTACATAGGCATGAGCGAATTCATACTGGGGAGAAACCTTAGGTTTGTAAACAATGTGGTGAGGGTTATTCGCAATCATCTCATTTACGAGTGCATGAGCAATCTCATACTGGAACGAAACATTGGACAATATCGCGAAAGTGGATGTGATGAGGCGAAGTGTGGAAGGGGATATATATTAAATGTCAAGATTCACAAATAGGGGTTCGCGGCCTCATACTGGGGAGAAACCTTATATTTGTCGTAAATGTGAAAAACCCTTTTCATGAAGGCATGAACGAACTCATACTGAAGTAAAATCTTTATGCCTGTACACAATGTGAAAGGGGTTTTCTAGATTTATCAAATTTATGTGTACATGAGCAAACTCATACTGGAGAGAAAGAAATCTTTTGCATAATTTATGTCTTCCGGGTTAAAAAAATCCATGATCTGGTCAAAAAATTTATTGGAGGTCTTCAAAATTAAGGTTTCTGTTGAGAGTTGAAAATTGAGTTGTTTACTTAATTCTAATGTATTCCTTTGCAATAAGGCATCCAAAGCTTGTAGGTGCTTATTATTTGATGGTATTGTTACTATACAACATCCATCAAAATGAAAGAGTGCAATTATTTGTCATAGTAATAGACTGATAATACAAAGTATTGCCATTATAATAAATTACAAATACCATTGAAAGGTATTGCCATCATATCATAAGGATCCCGACATACGTTCTCATCCCTGCACCATGTTTCTAGGATTACTGACTCAACATGTGTTTGTCATATGATTAAGCCGTCTTATTGACTTTCTTCTCCACCGGAATAAATATGTAAATCCTAATTCTTTTTTCATTGATTGCAAAGCTTAAAAATGCAATGCTTTTATTTTAGATATTCTTGGATATTTATGGAAAATGATATCGTAATCATAGAATTCACCGAAGACATATTTCACTGCTTCATCTGTAATGAACACTTTTCAACAGGATCCAGTTTTGAAAAGCATATGTACTCACGCTGAAAATCATAATGGAACTGGAGATTTATACAAACATGCAACTGACAACATACTGGGAACTAGTCAGCCTACCTACTCAGAATATAACAAGTAAAACTCGCGACGAAGAGAAATCTGATGAATCTGGAAAATCCAAAAATTGTGAACAAATTGGTCCGACCCCCAAATTGGACGGGCCATTGGAAACCCTGTCACATGTTCATACTAATACAAAGCCAGTGCCAAATTTAAAAATCAACTGTAGAGATGAAAGATTTATTTGCCTGCAGTGTGGCAAGAACTTGAAAAGGGGATATAAGTTAAATGTGCATATGAGGACTCATACTGGGGAGAAACCACATGCTTGAAAATGATGTGAAGAGTCATCAAATTTGAGACAAACGGCTATTTTGAGTTATGAACAATATGGAAAGGGCTCTACAGAGAATACATTTTAAACAGCATTTCACCTGCCCAAGGATGCAAGTGAGTGAATGGTAATGCATTATGTATTTTCTTCTATTTTTTTACAATTGTATTTGTGGATCCAATCCCATGTCCCTGTTTGATTGTAAATGGGTATTTATGTGTTTAGTTTCATAAAAGGATATATTAAATAGCAATGATATTGTTTTGTGGAGTTTTGTTTTATTATTCTCTGGCTATCTGGGATTGCATTATTAAGACCCTTTTAATGTCTTTTGCAAGACTGCATTTTCAGCTCTTACCAATATAATAACACAATACAGGTTGAGATGTACGAGTTTGCTGTCACAAATTGCTACGAGAACTGTTGTGTTGTAAATGAAACATTCCTTATTGGTTAGGCACAGAAATTGATACGGCATAGGATGAGGGTCCATCAAAAATAAGATTCACAACTAGGGGTCCGCGGCCCAAACAATTTGAAAAACAGACAACAGACTGCTCTTATCTATGCTGCTCTGACATGCTTCATTTTAGGGGTATATTATGCTTACGGTAAATTTCCTCGATGGCCAAAAATAATCATTCGCGACTGTTCAACGGCGAAAATCAATCCTTTTGCACATAATTAGCCCCCACAAGATTCAAAAATGCAAATTCTATCTGTCCCTAATGTATTAAAGGATGCACACCCCTGGCTTTGGGTGTTTGAGACCCTTTCCACAATGTTTACATCATGAGGCTTTTCTCCTGTATGAGATCGCTCATGCACTTGTAAAGTAGTAAATGCTACAACGTTTGCATACATGAGCTTTCCAGTATGAGTTCGCGTATGCGCTTCACATTGTTTACAAACATGAGGTTTTTCTCCAGTATGAGTTCGCACATGTCTTTGTAAATAGGTAAATTGCGTAAAACTCTTTCCACAGTGTTTACATATGTAAGGTTTTTCTCCAGTATGAATTCGCTTGTGCACATGCAAATTAAATAATCAAATTATTTACAAACATGAGGACTTTCTCCAGTTGAGTTCGCTCATGCACATGCAAATTAAGTGATCGCTCATTACAGTTTCATAACAATTTTCACTGTGAATGTGCAAAAACATATGCTTTTCCAAGCTGAAAACTGACTGTTGCCATGCATAAAAATTAGATGAATATAAAAAAATTCTAATGTTAATCAATCAAATTGTTAAATCATCAGCTTGTCTCTCCACGTGAATTCATTATAATTGACTGAATGAGGTATTAAAAATTTCACATGTAACTGCACATATACTGTCACAATATCGAAGTAATTTATCAATATCACGATTCACTTTAAAATATATCAATTTATATTTTTCCAATATTCCCACGGCCACAGTTATATTTAAAAACGTCAGATTAACAATTCTTTTTCCTGGAAAAGGCTAGACTGATATTGAAGTCGCAGGAAGAGAATAAAATTTGTTCAAGCATTAACTGGAGTTTGTTAAATAAAAGTCTCACTGCAATCATGATAAATATCAAAATGAACTTACAGACTTACAAGGTACATAATAAAAGCCCATTTTGTGGCTCAAAATATGATTTATATTAATATCGGTATCGGCGGCGAAAAGTGATATTGGTCAAGCCTAGATGAAATACAGTATTATAATTCAAACACTCAGAATACCGCATTATAAACTTGCCATTTTTTGCATTTTGATCTGAAAGCTTAGCCACATCCAGACAACGCAGCGTTACAGTACTAATACTGCAATATACAATTTTGAATTAGGCTGTATGGGCAGATGGATGAATTGGATATAACTTACTGATCAAATCTAATGAGCCCATGCATCTGAAACAAATGGCTGGCTAACCAATTCCATACCGGTAACTGAACAAGAGGCTGTGGCATGAGAAGCAACATTTATGAGTGCGATTTCAACCAGAAGAAACGAGTATTGTGACAACAATAAAAGTACACAACATAAGCAAAGTTTTCTGGCGCAGACCGGGGTTAATATATGGTGTAAAAAGGGCTAACTGCTATATAGTTGTCTGGCTTTTTTAGGTTTGGTTATATAACTGTTTGTACTTTGTACCCAATTCGGTTCGTAATATAGAACCTGACTTCATTTAAAACTAAAATTTAATAAATGGAAACATCTGAAAGGCAGCAAGAGCTTACATACAGTTTTCTCATATTTTTGGTTTCGTTGCGGTATATTGTGATTGGACACATTCGTGGACCTATGGATCGTTTCAATATTATGTTGCTGTCATTGTCCTTGTTCTCTGACACGTTTTGAGAAAGTCGCTTTTCTCTTTGATTACTGAACCAATTACTTTGAAATTTTCAGTGGTTAAAAATATTTGTTCTAGAAGACCATCTTTTATTAATTTCAAATATTCCTGTAGGTTTTATGGGGCTCGTTTTTGTGAGCTATGACGTCATCAGAATTTTCCACCACTCACATAGTCTACAAACAAGGTTTCTCTTCCGTATGAGTAAATGAAATTTCCGCGAAAAACCCTTTCCACATTGTTTACTAGCATAGGATTTTTCTCATGTGTGAGTTTGCTTGTGATTACGTAAACTACGTAAATTTGAGAATTGTTTTTCACATTGTTGACAAGCATAAGGTTTTTCTCCAGTGTGAGTTCGCTCATGCCCTTTTAGATGATCCAATCGTGAAAATCCCTTGCTACATAGTCCACAAACGTACGGTTTATCTCCTGTGTGAGTTCGTCCATGCCCTTTCAGATGGGATGATCGTGAAAAACACTTCACAAATATATGGTTTCTCTCCAGTATGGGTTCGCTCATGCGCTCGTAAATTAGATAATCGTGAAAAATCTTTTCCACATTGTTTACAAATATGTGGTTTCTCTCCAATGTGAATTAGCTCATGCTCACTTAAATGAGATATTTTTTTAAAACGCTTTCCACATTGTTGACAGGCATAAGGTTTTCCTCCAGTGTGAGTTCGTTCATGAGCTTTTAGATGGGATAATCGTAAAAAACACTTCCCACATAGTTTACAATTATAGGATTTCTCTTCGGTATGACTTTTCATATGCCTGTCTACATTCTGCTTCACTTTGAAGCTCTTTCCACATCGCTGACAGATAAATGGTTTACCTCTATTGTTGGTTTGTAAATTAGATCCTGATGTGATGTTGGTATGAACAAGTGACTGGGTTTGTAATTTCACATCCAGTTTAGTGGTTGTGTTGATTTGCTCACAATTATGCAGTATTTCAATTTTATCAGCCGGGCCTCTCTCTCTGCATTCTTCAGCACCACTTTGTAAAGAAGTTTTACCACAATTCTCCTCAGAGTTGGTATGCTGACTAGTTCCCTCAATGTTAGTTATATTTTCATTCAAATCTATCATTATCTAATCATTATTGATATAATTTTCCATACTGCGGATATATAAATTTACAAGAATTTTTTTGCATTTTGTGACTCTTACCATCGTCATAAAATATAATAAAAAACTATAATATACATTTCCTGTTATAGAGCTGAAGAATTTCTTGTCTTTCTATTCGATACATCAGTGAAATTCAACTCATGCTCTTCTAGCAAGTGAATTTAAGGGAAGAGCAATTAGTTATAGGCAAATTTGCATATAGTGTAGTAATCAGTTATATTCAAATTACTAAGATGTTTACTATAAGCACACAGAGCTGTGAGGCACTTCCGCATTTTTTAGAGACTGCAAAATCGCAGTTTCTTTTTTTTAAGTTGATAAATAGATCTTCTGATTTTTATATGTTAAGGTCACAGCGAATTAATCCATCTTGTATTATGGCATTAATAGATATGACATGATCCGTGCATAGTAAAACAGAGGCAATCCTGTATTTTAAAATAGAATTTAGGTTACTTAAAAAGACAATGAAATATAGTTTTTTCCAATTCTGTTTCGAACTTGTGAGCACAAACAATAAAATCACAACACTACTGTGCTCAAACTTGGTCATTACACCTTGCGTAAATAAAGCTGGGGTTAGGGCTGCCTGCATTGTTTCCTTTGGTTGGCTGTTGGTTTGTAAATTTGCACCAGAATTATGTGATTTCGCAGTTTCAGCTTTATCACTCAAGTAAAGTTCCTATAGAACTGTAGAAAGTAAAATAAATATCAAGCGGACAGCATCATATTACCATTCAATATATACAATACAGGGTGCCGCCTCCGTCCATCAGTATGTAATATACCTATATACCTTAAAAAATTCTCTAGGGATGGGCAATGTAGAATAATTTACTATTCTAGAATAGTTAAATCGAATCCAGAATACCGAATCCTATTCTATTTTCATACTTATTCAAATAGAGGGAATTTTCCTGATTGCTGGATTTAGATGTCAAAAAATTGTAAATGTATTACTATAAATGTATTATTCATTTGGAAATGTCCTTAACATTAGATTTGATACTAAACAGGCATTTCCCAGGACAATGAAATCTAAGAATATTACAATATTTTTGCTTTCAATTATTCTAAATGTATGTAATCTCTGAATACTTATATGCTATATTACGCTTCAAACACTTTAATAGTAAGCGGTTAAATACAAAAATAGATATGAAACGTCATTAAATCATTATTAATGTTATTGAGTGTCGAGTGTACTAAAGCACACCCGCTGAGAATTAATTAGATGCAGGACCAGCGTGTGGCCACTGCAACCTATGCGACCGGTGTAAAATATTAAATTTAACCACTATCAATTAAAATCAACTTATTATTCTGTGCGATCAAGACGTGCAAAACAAGGTTCCCGTAAACGCGATTTCGCAGTTAGTTATTAGTTAACATCATCTAAAGACGAATTCAATTTCTATTATTATCGTTACATATCATTATCTACCCAGACTCGGCCCTACTCAAACTCAATACGTAACTATTTTCGCCAGATGTGGCATCTTTTTTTTAAGTTTATCGGCGAATAAA